TACTTTTTCCGGAGTCTCTCCGGTATCTTCCGGCTGCCTCCATATAGCATAGTGACACACTGCCAATTCCGCTGGAATTGTTCCAGCCAAAACCGTTTTCCCGCCCAGTGGAAATCAGGATTGAATCAACCTATATGTAAGTCATGGAAATACCGGCAGCGGAGCTACGTTTTAAAGTTGGCGCACTTGATACGAAAAGTGATGGCGCTGAAAGCTGGATCGCTGCCAATGCATCACACTGCCTTTACAGTAAGAGCGTTTTAAAATGTATGAGTCCTGAAGCTGTGACGGTGCAGCAGAGCTTCGCTTTGGCGCTATTCCGTTTTTCTTTGCTACTGTCTCCTTCCTTTTGTTGCTATCTCCTCGGCCTTCGCTGCTATCTCGCATCGTCACCAAAAAGCAGCTGGCCAACCAGCGAGCTGGGACTGTCAACGTGCACGAGCTCCAAACTTTTTTGCTATTCTCGATTGACACTCATCTCAAGTTTTGAATCCATATTTATTCCGTTCTCATCCTTTAAGGCGGTTTTCCTTCAATTTACTACATAGTATATGTTGGAGGACCAAGGAAATAAAGAAAATGTTTTGTGGTGTTGACAGATACACACAAATACGTAAAAATGGATTTATAACAAGTGATCCTTTTCCCTTAATCACGTATTAAATTACGAAAGACTCAAAAAATTGCTAAAAAGAAGCCGTTTTGATTTATTCATTTGTTCGTCCATGCACGCCTCATATGACTTTATCTTGCCAGCGACTGGTTCTTTACGTCATCTTATCTTTTCCACAGTTTCCTTCCGCTTCTTTTTCAGTGCGCATCGTTGGTTCGTTTTTTTTTTATTTTTTATTTTATTTTTTTATTTTTTTTTTTGTGCATTACATGCCAAATGAGACTAATTCTTTTTGTTGAGATAAATCTTTTATAGAAAAAAATAATCCTCTTTGTTCCAAAACTTTTAGATGTATTTTTGGATCTTTGCATTTAGTTTGTTGCTAACTTCATCACCATATACTGAACGCGTAAGTCAGTCAGTCAGAAGAATGCACCTAAGTGGACTATTCGGTAATAAAAAGAAGGTGGACAGGCGTTGGACAGTTGTGTAGTCAAAAAAATTTGTCCAGTGATCAAGGTTTGAACTTTCACTGGCCATAGTCTGGCCTGCATAGTCACTGAAAATAGGCTAAAATGATAAAAAGATTTGTATTTAGGCAGGCGCTGAACAGTGATTTCTTGCTAACTTTGGAATTTTCTTAAATTTTAATGTTGTAAGATACTTCTGGCACTGTATACACCGGCAGTACGGCTTTTAAATTCTCTCTTGCCTCTCGCTGCTGAAAAAAAAACCGAGGCCGCGCTGACGTGTGTAGCAGCACGCCAATGCAAGGAGTAACTGTTTTGGCATTACGTAAACCTTTTATTTTCTAATTGTTTGGAATGTCAAAAATTGTTTGTTTAAGAGTCACTCTTCAGTCTTTTGGACTCTTACAAAGTACTTTTCTTGATTTTAAAATTAGAAACAATATATTCTAATTCCTAAGAAAAAACATCATCTTGTCAGTTACTGTGAACAGCCGTAGGCGTGCTAATTTCAGTCAATTAAAATTTTGTCTTTCATGAACCCGATTAAGTTACTTTTTTATTTTCTTCTGGCTCATTACGTTTCTAGATTTAGGAATGGTTGAGCAGTATATAGTTAAGAGTCACTTAATTTTTAGGTATGCGTAATGTGCAGTTTCCGATTTCATAGTCGGGAAATGAGGATTTTTACCACTTATTGAAGGATAAAAAGTTTTTATAAACCATTCTTGCATTTTGCAAGTAGTTAGAGCTAACTTTTGTTTGCCAAAATCTGAGGCTGTACTTTGTTTTTCCGTGCTGCACTTATTCTTTGCAGTTACGTCCTCCTGCTCTCGGCTACAGAACTTTTGTTCTCCAAAAGTGCGCTGAAAGAGGTAAATGCATCAAAAAATAAGACCTCTTGAGAACTAGAATAAGCCTTGACCTCTCGGTTTCAGAATGAGAAAGAGCACTTTATGGAGATTTCGAAAAAACTTTAGCAGTGCCTGAGTTGTACGCTTTTTTTGACGCATAAATATGGAAAAAGAAATGAGAACGAAGCAATCCCGGATCAAGGTGACATTTTGCCAGCATTCTTTGCGATAAGACTTAAAAAGATAGGTTACCCAGTATACGTTTATTCAGTAAAATATATATTCTATAGCATTGATCTCATGGCTGTCCAGCAAAAATAATTCCCTATTTTTATAATTTTTATAGCTTTCCGACATGAACTTGAGGAATGCAACGCAGTTGAATAGCCTAAAATAGCATAGTCTGAAATGATCTTTGTAATAATAACGTCATACTCTTCTAGGCAGTGTTTAAGTTTTGAATCTTTTCTGCAATACTTTTAATAACAAACTCCAATGAATGAATTCTATTCAGTAGTAATTTGGAGTACACCTCCCTGAAATTTTCTCATGCTATTGATAGTTGTAAAATCATTGTTGTTGCTTACTCAGAAAAAAATTGTAAAATTCCATAGCAAATGGACAAAAGATTTTTAAAAATATTGGCAATAGAAGGGAAGAACCTGCTTTTGGCTTTACAAATATTATTTTGGAACGACTCTGATATTTGATAGGATTCGTACAGTACACATAGTACACGCTTGAAAAAACTTGTAAAGAATTTTTAACTTTATTTTTTAAAAATCCCTCTCTCTTTCATTTGCTCAAGACAAAGTGGTAAATTTTAAAAAGCCGTTAACAAAATGGGTGGTGGGTATACCACTGCAAAATGCTGCGTCCGTTCAAATTGTGAAATCACCGCAGGAAGGGTTAGTTTGAAATCAAATGCTGTTTTATGTTCTATTATATATGTCCTTGTTATTTTTTAAAATTATTTTATCAAAGAGAAACCTCACAGATATGTAGGAAAGCCCTTGCAAAAAACATGTCCGTTTTTATGCGCGAAATGAAACCTATTTTTTCTTTTGCATCCTCCATCACCCAAGGTATTAATCTGAACTAGTACCACATTTCCAGGGAATAAAAAGTGGAAGGACGGAAAATTTGAACAAAGTAAACTGAAATAAAAATTGTTGGAGGGAGAAGGAGAGGGGAACTGAACTGATAGAAGGTGGATGATCGGAAGGCTTGATGTAAATGATTAGTTTTCAAAGCAAAATGTTGCCAGCAAAAAACTGAACAATAGTTTACATGTAGAGAATAGTTATTTTAGCACTTCAATTTAAAATTGCTGCTTTTGTCTAGGACAGTTCTTTTCTCTTTGAAAGCCATTTCCACTCCATTTCCACTGCGTAGCAATTAGTAAAGTGAAAAATATAATTTAACGTCAAGTACCATTTTTATCTTTTGATCATGTTTACCTTTTTAAGTCATACATATATTGGAAATTTCTGTTAACAGCCATTTTTAAAACGATACATCCTGATAATTATTACCGTCTTTTGAGGAGTAAAAACAAATAAAGAGAGTGGAAGCAATATTAGGTAATTTTTTTGGAAATTAAATTTACAGGTTTAGTCTGCTTCTAGCCATTATAGCATCTATACCTCAACATATACGTAATCATATAGGCGTGATAAAAGCAATACCAGTACTGAGCTAAGACAAGACAGTGCTCAAGAATAGTATTCTGTTGTACATTTTCCATCATACTTTTTAGTTGAAAAAATTTTGGTTTTATTGCTTCCAATTACAAAAGTTAAACGATGAAACAAGTTACTAAAGAAACGACTTCATTATTGCTGCCATCAGCACATTTGTACGTACTGCGTGGCTTTTAGCATTACACAGATTCTTTGCGAATTTTAAGTACTATTTAGTTTGTAACAGGACAACAGAAAAGAAAGGAAGATGACGTAACTTAATGGCTGTAGCGATTAGAAGGTGAAAAATTGTTAAAACTTTAGTAAATTCAAGTTGGGAAAAAAATGAGAAAGAAAATAATTTTGAATTACAGTGCACTGTAACGATTTTTATCGTTAAAATATAGCAAATTGTTGTACACCGTTCGTTACCTGTACTTTACCATAAAAAGAAAGGAAGAGGAAAAAGATAAACGATTGTCCTCATGTGCTGCTCACGCTTTAATCTAAAATATTTCAAATATGTGAAGCTTATCTGCATGAAGAAACCTGCACTTATCAACAACCAAGTAACAGCAAAAAAAACCTTGAAAGCATGAAGATATTAAGAAAGTTCTAGCAACAAAATGACCATACTTCAAAATTCCAAAATGTCAATTATATCCAGAAAAAAGGGGTTTATTTTTCTTAGTGACAACGACTTGTCTCTAAACAAAAGATACCGAATCTCAATGCTTTGAAACAGATGTAAGATAAAAATAATGACAATTTAAAAAGCAGAAAAAAATAAAAGCCACTGTTCCAATTATTATTAAATTGCTACTTATAAAACAACCAAATGAAAAATAGCAGATCTGACGACAATGTTCTTTCAATCAAAGTTTTCGCAAAGACTACTCTGATAAAAAATAAACAATAATTTTGTTGCTTCCCACGTATTTTAGCTACACAGCATATTTATTCAAGCATTAAATATCAAGACTTTGGTACTTTAGTACTGATAACTGTGTCAAGTGAATTTTACCATAAAGCTAAACGGCATTTACAGAAGACACCGTCTGAGCAAAAAGCTAAGCTCGCTTGAGGCAACTGCTACTTTCCTACATTTCTGAATAGGGCACTGAAAAAAGTGTCTCATAACTGTCCACTCAAATGATGCCAGAAATCTAGTGTCAGTTTGCAAAGAATGCGTCTTCGTTATCGCTTGGATAGTCGTCATTTTCAATAGCAATAGCGTCGTCCAAAGCAGTCTCCCATCTTTCAGCTTGTCTTAGCTTCTCCTCCTCATCATTCGTCTCAAGAACTCTGATGAGTCCAGATGTACTAAATAATACCCTAAGTCATTAAAATGAGAAAAAGTAAACCTCAGATTATTAGAGACTGATGATAATATTTTTCTAAATTACCATTTGTGCTGATTGTCAATGATATTACCTTCCTAGCACAATACTTTTATGCATCTTTTTAAACGCATCTTTCAAATCCGAAAGTTTGAATGTAAGAGGAACTGAGTCCACCAGCTTATAAAAGTATCTTCGGAAAACACTCATGTAACGACGACGTCGAATTTCAGGTGGAGCAGAAGTGATAATTAGGTATGACAAATCTTCTGCAACGCTTCCATAGTGAAGATTCTAAAAATTTCAACCAAATGTCAAAAAAAAATTTAGAAGACATTATGGGGTTACAGAGCTATAACACATCGAAATATTTTTAAAACTAGAGTGGCGGCTACATAAATATAAAACTCTGAAACTAACGTCCCAGCCGGTTATCTCAGCAATGTTGCCCTCGCTGAAAACAATTTTCTCAGATGACAATTCACCATGACACATTACCGAGGGAGTCAGTGATGACCCTAACGACACCGGAGGAAGCAGATCATCTTCACTTTTAAATATCGTTTGAACCTTATATTAGAAACTTCATTTTAAATATCACGATAATTTCTACAGCCAATAAACAATCATTAATTTTATGATACATCTTCATATTAACTCTTAAAGATGTTTTTTACTTAGTCGTTAGACTTCCAAAAACTGTTAATAACTAATTTATTTCTTTAGACAAAAATTGAAATATATAACAAAACAAAAAATTGCTTAATAGAAAAGACCATTTCTATAGCTGTTTTCAAGAAATTTCAAGCAAAATATGCAATCCTTTCTCTAACCTTTTCAGCCAAGTGAGCAGCACCTTTGAAATAAGCTGAGTAATTAGAAACTATGACTTGAACATCCTTTGCAATATTCCTGCCAGTTTTCTGAAGTCTATACTGTTTGATCTTCGAATAATTTCCGTCAATAACTTTTTTTGTTTCAGCACTTGCAGTTGACAAACAGAACGCGTGCAAGGAGCTTAACTGTTCTGCGACCTATAATTTATAGAAGAAAAAATAATAAATTGTAACACCTGAGCTGTGCTACCATTACTGAACAAATCAGATAAAATCGTATTTAGCACTTGTAATTAAAAATTTTCTAGCAATTTTAATATTCTTTATTAAAGAACGCTAACGTAGCAGCAATACATTGAACTGCTGTCATTACACTTCATGAACTTATTACCCGCAATGTTTTCCAACCCTGTCGTTTATTCGGTACAAACAAAGTTTTCTAATTTAAGTAATGTAAGTGAGACTCTAAAAGAATTTTAAAAAATTAAGCTTTAACAATGTTTATTTTAAGAATTACGTAT